ACCTTTCCTAGAGTTGGTGCCATACTCCTGCAGGCTCATGGTGCTGCCGGATTTGACAACATACTCTTGCTTCGACTTCATCAACATGTTTTCTATGCTTTCCCCTATGTCTACCACGAAAGATTTTTTATTATCAAACAAGGCAATGGAGCTACGAAGGTTTTCGCAGCTTTGAGCTTTCTCATGAGACAGCAAGATACCCTTCTTGTCCTGCACAAGAGCAGCTGGAGCTGCTAGTTTGGGTTTGAATTTAGAAGGGAGGATTTCAGTAATGCAGGCTTTTGCAGCTGATAAGGGCTTCTTATGTTTACATGCGTGACCTAACATACCGGTATGACTAGCGTTAAATGTTCGGCTATTAACTGAAGAGGGTGCAGTCATATGAGCATTCCCACCTTTACGATCCACTGGTAAGCATGCAGAATAAAATAAATACAACCTGTTAGCTTAAGTGCTAGAAAGCTATTGAGAAAGGAGAAAGAACATGCTTGGATTTCATAAAATGCACTTTAAAGAAACAAAGTTCCAAAACATAAAAAAAAAAGCAGCAAGAAACTGCACAACAAGCTACGCTTACAGAAGTAGAAGTGCTGCTAACATCTCTAAAATGAGAGGACTGGTTAGAAGCAGATCTGGAGCACTTTGAAGGTACTCTCCTAAAAAGTGCTAAGCAACATCAGCTTCCAGGGAAGCTGTGGCACCATGGAAAAGGAAAGCTGAACTACGGGCAGGATCAGGGTGTCAGCAAGAATGCAGAGGCACTAACATTACAAAAAATGCCTTAATCACACCTACTATGGTCTCACCACAGTGTGTGCCAAACAGTTTATTCCAGGGAGGGAGAAGACAATTGGCAGCTGACTGCGCTAACACAAGCAGGCCACATCAGCTGGCCTTGCTCGAGAGCTGCCTGCTTAGATATTCCCCATACTAGGAATAAACTGAGCGTCCTTCAGACAGTGTCGTTGGCCATGTTTGCTTGAAAAATCAAGGAGTCAGATCGCGACATTATTTTTTATTTTTTTAAGTCAGATCCAGTCTGAGTTCAGCTTATTCACAGTTTTTAGGTCTGTTTCCGATTTGAGTTCAAACTTAAATGTCAAAATAACCATTCAGGTTCAACTGCAATTTGGGGAACAATAACTGTTTGAACAGATTTTTTAGTCCAGATCCAGTCTGACTCCCTGCCCTACAGGCCTGACATAATGCTGAAAAAACAGCTGGGAGACAGAGAGCGAGCTTTTTGGACCGATGTGCTATATTTAGGGAGAGCAGTTCAGAAACTCAATGCATTCCTTCCCCAGTCCTCTCCCCATCTCAAACCATTTTTAGGTTGAAGTTGGCTCAGACACACATTCCCTAATACAACTCCCTGATGGTAGTCAGGCTCTTCCTTGTCCTCATCTAGAGTCCATGACGGGGGGAGGAAAGGGAAGGAGATGCAGTGGGTCTCTGCTGCCTCACTGTCTCAGAGCCTGCAGGGCATTGCTGGTTCACAGTGTCCCATGCATTGTCTGCACACCCCTTGCAGGCAGGAGGCTGTGGAGCACCAGCTACACCAGGGTAGCCAGGCCAGCAGATGTGGTATGGCCTGCTGAGACAACAGAAAGAGCAGAAAAGGCAGGGAAGGGCTCTGGCATGGCAAAGCGGTGGGAGCAGATAGATAGCAAGGCCAGCCTGAACAGCCTTGAGGAAGAACATGAAGGTGTGGGGTATGGTTGAGGTGCTGGATGGAGGTAGCTGGTCCCTGTTGGGAACAGGAACCTGGATCAGATAAAGGGGTCATGAAAAATACTGGCCAGTGTGGGCTGAGAGAAAAAGAGGAGGGAAAACTAGGGACATTGAAGAGAATGGACAGAGGAAACTTCAACTGGCTTGAATAGGACTCTAAACCCTGGCGCAGTTTGCCCCATATCACCTGACTCTTGACAATCTGTGCAAAAAGGAGAAGAGGTTGGTGCCCTGACAACCTACCTTTTGTGGAAGCAGAGCTAGAAGGTCGCTTGAGACCACTCAGCCCCTGGAACGGGATATCTCCACCTTCCAACACACTCTTGTAAATCTGCCTTTCATTCTCCAAGCCAGCAGGGTCCCCCAGTGGTGGTTCTGACTCCTTTTTCACTGCATGGTAGTTGGGTGAATATGTGGAGCTGGAAAACAAAAGAAGGAGGAGGGACACCAGTGGGTCACTTCTGTTTGCTGAGAGCTTCATGCAAAGTAAGAGAAAACCACACTTGTGAAGCCAGAATAGACGGTGTACGAAGAACTGATGCTGAATGAAGAGGTTACGAACACATTGTGACAATGTTCTAGGTTTGGCGCTACCACAGAATTCTCCACCTGAGGGAACTCTCCCAGCTGAGACTCGCAGAAAGCAGGTGGCGGGAAAGCACTCCTTTATTTTACAGATGAGACAAGAGGGTCACGGGGCAGATACATGATTTCTTTGCAGACATGAAGAAATGCATTGGCTAGCTGGAAGTAGCACAAACATCTTCTAGCTCCCAGTCCTTTCTCCTTCAACATTAGCCATGCCTGTCCCTGCTTACAAAGCACAGCTGCTCAGGAGTTCATCTCAACCAGTTCAGCCTCCCAGTTAACACTATAGTTCAAGACTCCCAGAGCAATTTCTCAAGCCCATTTGTGAGGGACCATGCAGAGAAGCAATAGTACAGGGCTATAGACAATACTGTTTTATACGCCAAAGAATTTCCCAGATGTGCACAGTTCTGCTCTGCTTTGCCTCAGGCTTCCACTACAGGGAATGAAAAATTCTGCGCTCTAGGTAGAGAGACATATGAACAACATGCTGTTAAAATAAGTACAATTTTATTTTCTTTGGCTTTTAGAGACTGGACATTCATTACAAATCCCTTTCCTCCATCATGAATCTAAGTACAAGTCCCAACATCCGACTTCTAGATCTCACTGTTTTCCCTGTAAAAAAACAACCAACGCTGCCATGGTATAAATAGTCATTTCAGTTACAAATGATTTACTGAGCAATTAGGCAGATAATGTTTTCCTAAAAGCTAAGCTCATCTGATACCGGTTGTGCTCAGCTAGGCTCTTCAGAATAAGATGGAGTCTCACACACAGCTATTCTGAGGCCAAAGCATGACTGCTGGAAAGTTTAAAAAAAAACCCAACAAAACCAGCAATTGCCAATTCATGGAAACATTTTGAAAGCTGGGTTACATTACATTCTGATGCTCAAGAGTGATTCAAATTTATGTGACCCTGGAAATGCTTGTGGTTACGTCTGCTTGTTGTGGATAAATTTGTACATGCATCTGTTTATTTTGGATAGATCCTGTACTTATGGGCCAAAGAAAAAGCTTTCAAACACATCAGAGGACTGGCTATGGAGGTGGAATTACACAATGTCTGGATCACAAAGAAGATTTTAGTTTCCTGACAAGGAAAACCAGGTCATATGCAGTCCCATAAATTACTTTCTGGAGTAATGGCTTGTGAAAAGCACCACAAAAGAGAAAGGGAATAATGTCGCTTTTTCAACCTAGGTAATGCTCAAATAGACACATATACAGAGCTGCTGTGCCTTATGGAGGTTATCCCAATGCCTCTGTCAGGTTCCCGAGGAAGCCCTGTCAGTTGCTGCAGGGAATAATGACTGCCCTGAGGTTCCTCACCTGGTAGGTAAAAACATTTTAGCCTAGTTTAACCAAAGGGTTAAAATAATCCTTCTTTGGTAATACACCTGGAGGACAGAGAGGAGGCATTTGGCAGAGTCCCTTTATCAGTTGCTCTTTTAATAGGGCCAGCAAGCAGCCTGCAAGATCAGAATCAGGTGAACAGGGGGAAGAGCAATGCTGGAAAAAACACAATAAACTCCAAGTATCTTTTCTCCCTGCTCTCTGAAGGCAGGGCAGGGAAGAACCTGTGACTCCACTGGTTGTGGACTCACTGTTGTGTCCCTTTCCCAGCCTACTCAGGTTGCTACTGTGCCACTGGCTCAGATGCGGGCACCCCTGCGCGCTTTGAGTGCTGTCAGAAAGGGCACAGACAGTGCTGCCATGGGTGGAAAACTTACCAGTCTTCAGCAAGTATAAGCTATCTATGCTAATCTTGGAGATTTCCAATTATTTTATTGCGCTCTCCCTACCAAAACAAAACTAAACATTAATAGGAGCAACCAACAAAAGGCAGCAGTGTGTGAGCATCCCAGTAGAATAAAGACAGACAGAAGGGATCTGAGTTTAAAGAACAGGAGACCTCCAAGACAGACCCAGAGGGGCAGTGAACACACATGATATTAATGGGCATTTAGACAAGAACATGCCTTTCCTAACAAACCATCCATGCAAGAGGGGATCACTGTGCCTGTGGACAATGTTAAGCACTCAGTCCAATTACAAGGAGCAGCAGGTTTGCAGTGGGAGCTGGCTCCATGGCTCAAGTAACTCAGCACAGCTCAGCACCTTGTTCTGGATTAATTTTTTTTTCCCTGTGTTCCTCTTTTAAAACAAACCAGCTCCATGTACAATTCATTCAGACAGAGTACACTCTTTATTAGGTATTCCTCCAGGCAAGCAGTGCCACATTACATCTTTGAGAAAAATCATTACTGCTACCACTGTTCCCTTCCTGGAAGCTAGAAATTACTGCCTTCCATCAACAGCAACCAGGAGCCAATCTATCATACATGTGTAACAGAAACAATCTTTGTTTACGTCACGCAATGAAGTTATGGCATGAAGTTACAGCCAATTTGCAAACTTCATCAAGATGGAGTTAAAGGTCTGCTTGTTTTTCTTTTTAAGTCACTGCCTAGCACAACCAGCAATTCTTATCTGGACAACACAATCACTCATATAATCACTTCAAAATTAATTCAAGATCAAAGAGCAGATATTGTATCTGGACTCTTCCAAAGCATGTGTATAATTCTCGTGATACAGGCATTTGTCTATATTCATCAGCAAAAAATACAGCCAACCCATTCCCAATGCCCAAAACCCTATCCTTCATGCCCTCAGATTCTAAGACACATCAAAAAGCAATTGGAAAACTTACTAGGAAGAATGGTCTGTGGAAGTTTCCAGAGGAGTAACACCTGCTGTATTCTGCAAAAGTCCAAACAAAGGAGTCATTGATACACACTAACACGTGAGGAGAAAGAAAAAGGCTTGCTTAAATAATTTTCCATCTATGGCTTGAATATTAGCCTTTAGGAGACATTGAGGTTTAAGTCTAAATGCAATTTAAGCTGTCAATGTCTTTGCAGAAAAGCAACAATTTTCCTGAGTTCCTTCAGGGCAGTGACAGGTTTTTAGCACAGCGATGCCTTTTCACAGAGCCTATTCTTTTGTCTGCAAATGAGTCAGTGTGAATAAAGCCAAAAGCAAGAAGAGATAACCAGCTGGGCCATGACCAGGAGGCACATGCTCATAATTATTTCCCCAAGCTTTTCCCCCAACCGGTCACTGCCCGCCTTTGCTTTAAAGGTATATTACATTTCTGCAGCACAATACATTCCTCAGCGTTCAAAAAATATCAAAGCACTAACAAGAAAAGCAATATTTCAGTTCGGTTTCCTTACTTAAGAGAAGCAATGCCAGCTGCACAGGTTCAATAGCAAAAGCCAGTTCTTATCCGCTTGCTTTAAATCCATCTAACACTTCCTAGGCATATAATTTTAAAAATTGAAGGCCATTTTAGAATAAATGCTCTATTTGGTGTCCCCCATCTATCTGAAGATTCCTATGTAGGAAGAAAAAACAAATCTTGGGTTTGAAAAAGCAGTTTTTTCAAGTCCTGGTGAAATGTCGCAGCTTCAAAAAAAATCAACAGCAAAAGAAAAAAACAGAAAAAAATGGCGTGTTACCAAATTAATCTATCATTTCGTGGTTCGGGTCCTGCCAACCCTCGAAACAGCAGCAGCAGCTGACCTGCCCTAGAAGGCCACAGCAAGGTGCAGCGTAAGGAAAATCGTGTAAAATCTCTCGGGAATATCCAAATCTTGGGTAGGCGTGAGCTCCTAGCAGAGAGCAGGGCTTGTGTGAAGGGAGGGTAGATGGCAACACGCTTGAAAGGCACGAGATGATGACGTGACGCCAACCAAGAATTTTAAGCTGATTGCTGCTGCCTATTCATGTGAAAAATTGAGAGGGTTTTTTTGCAGACGCTGAACTCAAAACCCTAAAGGGGGGCAGCTGAAAGGGAATGGGGAGAGAGGAAATCACTGTATCTGAAATGGATTTCAAGCCGGATTCTCAGCATCACGTTCTATTATGTCTGACAGTGAGACAGCAAGCCATGCAGTCAGAACGGTCAGAACCATTATTTATCCCAACCTCATTTAATAATCATCCAGCAGTGAACAGATTAGAGCAGAGAGTTTGGAAACAGGGATTGGCAGCATGAAAAGAATAGGAAATACCTTCTGTGGCTTTTTATGTGGCGCTTTATAAAGCTTCTCCATTTTTTCTAAATCTGCCTCTAACTCAGTCTGGTAGAGGTAGAGGTCTTTTTCTAGATCAGTCTGGTTAAAGAAGGAGAAGAAGAATGGGAAAATAATGCTTAGGGTTAGGGGAAATCAAAGGAATGTTAATTTTGAAAAAAAAAAGAGAGCCTTTTTAACCAAAAAAAGAAAAAGATGGTATGGACAATACACAGAAAATCACTAGTAATTAATCATGTTTCAATCATTACAGAAGAAATAGGTTTAGGCTTTTAAAATTCAAAATTAAGAGATGCACAGGCCTGCTAGAATCTAATTCTACAAACCATAAAGTTATAAAACCCACCTGTAAAAAAAAAAAAAAAAGATACTGTAACAATATGCAATATGCTGTTAGTATAATTATCATTGTAAGTCAAGATAGCAAACCATCACTCTAAATTATGGCTGATTATGCTTTAAGAATTATTAAATCAATTTACTAGCTACTTAATTGTTAGGCTAATGAGCTCAAGCCCAATTTAAGAAAAAAAAAAAGTAATCACTCACAAGCACACAAAACCCAAGCAATGCTACAAAAAAAAAAAGGAAAAGATAATCACATACACACATACATACGCGCTAGATGCTGTAGTACAACGTACGTGAGACACAATTACCTTTCTATCCTCTCTAGTAAGGATAGAGCAATCTCCAGGAGTATAATCCCAAATCTTTTTTGGAGGCTGATGGAAAGCAGAGGAAGGAAATGAGGAAATGAAGATAAGGAAAGACATCACAGAGAATATGGAAACTGGATTAGAACAGAGGGGGAATACAATAGGGGATTTGCATCAAGACTGAAAACAAATTTAAAAAAAAACACCACAACAGAGAAAGAGAGAGAGAAAGAGGGATAAATCCGCTATAGCACAAATATCAAGAGATCATGGGAGGCAAAAGGGAGAATACATGCAGTCTGGGAGGGACTGTTTTCAGTACTGTTTGAGGAAACTCTTACTTTTGCAAGGTGGTATAAGGGATTTTCGACTCTCTAGAGGGAGCCCACAGATGGTGGTTAAAGCATTCTTAACACAAAAACGAACCAAAACAAAATGGGGGAATAAACACACAGTCATAAAAAGCATTTGTTTTGCTCATTCTTCTTTTCAAAACGAAAGGGTAAAACAAGGGCCTTTGATAAAGAAAAGGGAGAATCCTTCCCACCCCCGCCAGACTATGAATACATACCATGTGAACAAATGGCTGAATTTCCAGTGGTGGCATTGTGGGGCAACGAGAATGCAGAGTTGTTATTTTTTATTTCACTGGTTTGGGGATTTGTTTGTGGGGGTTTTTAGTGGAGAGTGGGACACATGGAAGTTCAGGAACTAGTTATTTAAAATTCATCCTATAGGTGAAGGTGCCAATTTCAAAACAGGATTTTCCTGTTTGGATGCACATGTTACTATCAGGGAGGACTATTGGAAGTGAAAGATCTTTGTCCTGACACTCCTATCCAAATAATGCCACACTAATATCCTTATTTCACCAGATGCGCACCTCGCACTGATATGCTCAAAGACACTTTGCTCTTACTTTGTCAAATCAGAATGAATTTGCTCTGTTTCCAAAATATTTTTATTCCAAAAATAAGCTCTGTTGACTGGCAAGCTTAGCATCATCCTACATATCCATATTGACTTCTGTGACCAGATTATTAAAATACCTTCGAGTCATTGACAGGTAATCTCTGAGTGTCAGCCTATCAAAGACTGAGCTACAACACTTGGGGCTGGGTCCAAATTCCTTTCAAGACTGCCTGAATCTGTAGTTTGAATCTGTTCCACTTTATGTTCAGACAGCCACTGTGTGGATGCAAATACAAAATACTTATTTCTTTTCCATCAGATCAGCAGCTGCAGGGAGACATGGACAGTGCTGCAAAGATTTAGGAGGGAGAAACTGGAGGGAAGGAGGTGAGAAGGCAGGACATGCACCCCTTTTTCCAGCCTACTGCTTCTCCATTTATAGCTAAGAGCTTACTCAGTGCAGTCTCAGGAAGGGCCTGGAGAAAGTGCTCATGTGTGTGATCCTGGAATCACAGCAGAAGACAACGGAGCTCTAGACTGACTGAATGTCAAGTTTTGTGGATGGGCACCGTGGAGCTGCAGAGTCACAGGTCAGGAGAAAGGAAGGGTGTGCAGGGATTCAGTCTCAGCAGCACACTGAAAGTGTATCCATGCTGCAGAGACTGATCTACCTGTCTGCAGGGTACATGCCTGTCCATGGAGCTGCCCAGAAATGCATCTGGGATGCCGGTCCAGCAAAGTGTCACTTGAGCTGCCCTAGGAAGCGCATATGCTTTCATCAATGGAGGAAACCCCACACCGGTCATTTTGGCATCTTTGGAGAGCAACATTCACAGGCTCACAAGAATCCCATGCTCTCTTTTAGCAAGGGTGTTTCCTGCCCACCTCAAAGAGCTGCAAATGAAGTCAGAAAGCCAGGGGAGATCATGCCTGTATAACACATTATCTCCAGCACTGGGAAAAAAGCTGGAACACAGAATCTTTGAAGATCACAGGTGCTAGCAAACATCAGCTGAAACTCTCTGGTTAGGCATGAGGCTTAGCCACTAGCTGCTCACAAAAATTTGATCCTCTCATGACCAGAGTGAGCAAAGTTACAAAAACCATACTCTTTCTGCTGTGGTAATGAAGCTCAGTGGGAGCTTTGCTAGCTGTACAAGTCTGAGATGGCATCTTCAATTCAAGTGCCTGATGTTTAAGCACTATGTACAGAGTACCACGTGCAGGGGCTGGCATCATTGGTCAGGGAGCATGGTTGCATGGCTTTGTAGCTAGAGCAAGTTGACATGGGACATCATTTCAAGGGAAGCTGTAAGAAAGCAGCCCTTAACAACAAGGGAAGGTGGGGAAATTGGCACCAGAACAGACGCTCTGCTGATCAAGAGATGGATTGCTGGTGTAGCCAGAGATGCCCTCTTCTGAAGTGAGGCCAAAGCTGCACGACTAAAAGCACTAATGCACGCTTATAAGGAACAGATATACCCTCACTGCTAGATACGCCCAAGGGCATAAGTGTTCTCCTTTCCTTAACACATTTTCCATTAACTCACACTAACTCAAAGGATCATAGAGATGCCAAACCTTCATTCATTGCAAAAGCATATGGCTATTAATTACACAGCAGCAAAGAGAAGCAGGTTTCTTCTCACTTTGTGGAAATCTTAAACCATGACAACTTGTGAGGGGTTAAATCTTTATACTGACATCACTTAAAAGCCTCAGAGAAGTGGTATTTACATGACTTCTACTGCCTAAAAGTTAGGGAGCGGTCTCATCTCAAACACTGTTGAAGCTCTTTCTTTTGCTCAGAATGGAAGGTCCATAGGTTTAAAATATAGTTTTCTATGACAGAATGGACTACTCAGCCACTGTGCATGTTTGTTTTTCAGCAAAAATTACACTATTTCTACAGTGTGATCAAACTGGGCACCCAACCTCAGGCAGCTACGTTCCATACAGAGGAATTTTGTCACTTCTGTGAGAACAAAGACTAGACTTAAAGAAAACCTGCTCTCTGGTGTCTGTGTGCAGTTGCCTTTGAAGCCAGTACTGAACCTTAAAATAGATTTCTGTTGTGTTGTACGTGCAAAGAAGTCTCAGCAGGACTCAAAAATGATGTGCATGGGCATTTGGCAACTGATCTCAAGGAGAAAGGAGAAGCAACCACTATACTTGAATGGATGTGAGTGGCTGATACTGACTCTCCGGTGCAGTATGAGTTGCTTATTAAACAGTATTTAATAATGAAGTTAATAGTGTTCAATCAGTAAGAACCAGACCATAAAATGCTTTAAAGTAGCATTTTTTCCCAGTAGTCATCACCACTGATGCATTCCCTCCATCAAGATGTCCTTTGTCCTATTGAATAATTAAGCTTTGCTTCAGCTTTTTCCAGAGTGGGAAATCAAGGGCTTTTTTTTTTTCTCCACACACACATAGCAACACAGCTTCATTTGAAAAGAAAGCACACTGTTCTCAAGACTCCTTTGGTTTCAGCAAATGGTAAGAGCTATTCAACACAGACTGATGCACTCCATTTAGGCAATGGGCAGCTACACGCATAACAGAATGAGCAGGAAACAGGGTCACGATCTGTTTATGGCTAGCTTGAAATTACTGACCTAAAGTTTACGAGCCAAGGCTAGGAATAAATGAGTGATTCTCCTTGACTCAAAGCTACCTCTCAGCAACGCTGGATCTTGTTAGGCAGGGGGAGAAATAAGGGCTTTGAATAAAGACTTTCAGTAATGAGTGCAGGACATTACTTCCAACATTAACAACAAAAATGCTGTTTGAACTATGGTGTGTGAAAAATTATTGCCTTGTTGATACGTATGGCTGTAAGGTGGGGAATGTTTTGAGAATGGCTTCAAAATACTTAAAGTGGTCACAGAACAGCTGCTTTACATCACCACCGGGATGAAGTTATGAACAATCATGTTTTTAAATTAGTAAGGCAGCTGTTCCAGGTTTAGAACCTAGCAGAGAGATGTGACAATCATTAATCATTAAAAAAAAGAAAGGTACGTTGACTTCATTGGTCATTGCAACTATCAAACTTACCGGTTTCCCAAACTCCAATTCCGAAAAGAATTTATACCAAGGTTCATTCTTTAAATCTATCTCTTCTGGGCTTATATCCCGAGTCTAAAGGAGTTGGTGATAGGGGAATGGAAGAAAGAGAAGGATAACATTATGCAAAGAATACACGGAAAGGGACTGTTAGAGATGCAGATCCCATTGTTTCCATTCCAAAATGCAGATATTTAGCTTTATAATTTGGAATTTCTATAGCTCCTCTCTCTCAAAGGCTATGAACTGCTTTGCAAACATCAGTGAAGCCTAATGGCATCATTGTGAGCAACATGAATATGAATGAATTGCATTTTACAGATCAGGAGACCCACACAGAGAGAGATTATGCAGCTTGCCCAGAGTCACAGAGAGACTCAATAGAAGAGCTGAGAGTCAACCAGTCCCTCAGTCCTACTGTCGGACGTTTCCATCGAGTCCAAAACACCAAAAAAAATTTTAAACATCATTTGGTTAAAAAAGAGATTCAGTGAGACCTGAATCAAACACTGCATCTTTAACAGTACATGAATATGTGAGAAACCCTGTTCTATACACTGCAAACAGAGTGAAAGATGGTTTTCTAAATCAGAGGAGACAAGTCAGAGAGAGCACATCCCTGAAAGATCTCTGAAGGAATGGACAGAGACACAATATTACTTGTTTCTTCACAAATAAATGTTAGAGAGTCAGACAAATCTACAACGAAGGAAAATCAGACAGGACAGAAAACAGTACAGTTGAAAAGGAAATTCCTTTTTGTTCATACAATCTGTTTTAATGAAACAAAAAAAGTTGAAATAGTTGTAGCTACTTAAAAGCACTACTGGTGAGATAAGAGAATGAACTCCATTGCTGAGGTTTATGAGGTGCCACTCCTCAAAAGACACCTAGCTAACTCACATTTCAGTGTGCCTAGTCTCAGACATAATGGATCTCAGTGCATTAAAAATATAAATACATTATGTCTGATATGCCAGCATGACCCAAAGGGCTCCATCACAAGCGATGAGCCACACACATGCACAGAGGGCCACCACAAAGTGTCCTGATGCAAATCGTCCTGTGATGGGGTTACTGAGGCAGGGAGGTGTTCCCAACAGCACTGGGCTCTGCTAGATCATATGCCCCAAACTCTGCCATGCGCATTAGGCATCACAAAAAAAAGCTCTAGGAGAAGAGCTCAAGATTGATGCTGAAAGAGGGACAATGCTTCAATAGGAGAGATAAATGGTTACATCATGTTGGATCTCCAATGGCCTGGAGGAAGATTTGGCTGTTTCTTAAAGGCACAATAGAAGCAATGCCTCCATTTTTCTCTTTACCGCACTCCAACTAAAAGTACTCATCTTGTTATATAACTGCCTTTACATTACAAAAAAAAAAAAAAGCCCACTGACATCAACAGGAGGCTTTTCATTGCTCTGAAATGGTTTTGGATTGACATTCTGATAGTCACAGCTCTGGGTGTGATTACCAGGAGATATTCACTAATCTCCCGCAGCATTCTTGAAAGATGTAGCTGCTAACCACTGTATTACTGTGGTATTTGATGAGACTGATGGAGACCATGAAATCACTATTTCAAGACCTTCTTTCTTCTGTGATCTATAGCTTGAAATTAAAACTCAAAAAATAACATTGGAAGTAACACAGCTATCACGTTTTTCTTGTCTTTGATGAGCTCTGTACAATTTTTCTCAATTATGCTGTGACGGTTCTGCTTGTGGCTTTTAGACTCTGATTCAACACCTCAGTTAAGTACCTGATGAAGTCAGAACATGTAAACAGTGCCACTGGTGACGACAGACTTTTCGCAAAGGCTTAAGTACACAGATGAAGCAGGCCTTTCGCCACAAGGCTTAATCTTGGCTGTTTACCGTGAGACAAAATTGCCACTTAAGTCAGCAGAAATCTTGCTCCAGGATGGACTGCAGGAATGGAGTTGCCATACCATGTTGAAACCACTGCTCACTGGCACTTCTCTAATGGGTTGAGCCAATGCCCAGTAGGATCAAGAGAGAGTCATCCATCGCACATTTCAATAGGCACTAGGATCATGCTCCTATCAGGAGCAACCTTGTTGAAGTCAATGCAGGCACACAGGAGTCAAAAGAAGTTGGTTGCAGGATCTTCAGAAAGTGATGTACTTTGATTGCACTTGGAAGGAAAAAAGAAAACCCACCAAAATACTAAGGAGAAATGTCAGGTCCCAGATCAGACTTGATTCTTATATTTCTATTGATTTAAACTGCTGTTTGCTCTTGTGAAAAACCTTTGGCAAGTTTTTCAGGAGTATTTCTTTACCTGCTCCATGCATGGATCAATGCCTGAGCTGTTAAGGCACAAAGTTCAGTACACATTTGGAATCTCACATGCAATTAGCACTTCTAATTGAATCCTTGAAATTAATGCCTATATAGAACAATGATACCTTTATGTACCAAAGTGGCTATTCACTGGTAATCTCAGTCAGTATTTTCTCGCACTTACAGTGTGACACTTGTACCACTGAAAGACACCTTCATTGAGCTGTGGTGATTTATACAGAACTGGCTGACGAGGTTAGCACCACCTCTCTGCACTGCCCCTTGCCAAGTGTTCTCAGCCAAGCCTGCAGAATAAGGCTTTTATATGTCCTGTAGTTGTCACAATTCCCAGCATTACTAATTCAAACTGAAACTGGTAACAGCTCAGTTAATACTCCAGGTTACACACTGGCGTAGCTGGGGAACCAGGTCACGTTCAGTTCTGCCACCCCTGCCACAGAAGTGGCGAGTACCAGCTGAGGAAGAAAGCAGCCCAGAGGACATGGCTATGTCCTAAATGCACCTCAGAGGCATCCCCTGAGGCACATTACAGGCACTCTAAAAATTAGTCATTTGGTGTTTCAAGCATCAGAGGAACATAGAAACTGAACCAGCCTGCTTTGTTGCATAATGCTTTCAACCCTTCTGCATCAACTAATGTTGTGCCCTAGAAAAAGTACAGCTGGCAAAACAGCTGCTGAACAGGTCACAGTGTCAAACATGGATTAAAAACTGGGGTTAGTGATCCATACTTAACACAGAAAACAACACGTCCAAAAGGAAAGAAGCCTCTCAGTTTCCCTGGATCTTGCTTTATAGAGAACAAAAATGTTAGAAAGTTATGCAAATCAGTTTTCAAAACAAAATATACAGGAATTATATGCAATATAAGCATAAGGAATCTTATCAGAATGGAACCGGAGAAGTATTTGGAGAGTGTATTTTGCAGTCACAGGATAAAGCCACAAACCAGGATAAAACAAACATTACCATCTTTTCATTGTTCAGAACCGAGGATTTTCCTGGCTGATAGTCATAAATGCTCCTGGGCTCTGCACGGTATTTTCTGGTGTCCACCTTCTTGTCTGGAGGCTCCCAGTCAGTTCTGAGGAAAGAAAGATCAATTAAACCCAAAACTGAAACCGCTGTGGTATCCAAGGAGACAAGCACTTCCTTTTGACAGGCGCCTTTCTCTGTTAATCCTGGTTTAATCAGGGTACTTTTTTTAATCTAGGAAAGGAGCCTGCTATAAGAGGAACAGTTCAGATAGGGCTCTGGACACATATTTGTTTATCTATAGCAGCCAGAGTTTGATACAGCTCAGCTGATGAAACCACTGGAGCAGAGGGTTTATTTTCCAAGTACTCTTGATAAACGTTCAGACTTCCAAATCTTTCCTGCTTGGAAATAGGTTAGTGATGGACTTCAACTAAGCTCACAAATATAAACATGACCAAACTTAGAGCAGAACTCAGATTAAATATCTTTTGTTAAACTTCTTCATTTTAGCCACATCACTGATTACCTGACTACTACTGCTCTGGATACTGGGAGCACTCTGAGGTCCCAGAGGTGGTCTTTTCTAGAGACGTGAACGAATTATCTCAGACTGGTATATCTAAAGATGGCTAAAAACATTCCTCTGACTATCCAAATCACTATAATTTTGTTCAGTCATAAAGCATTCAGGGTCCATATCCTACAATGTCCAGCTTCTCTGAAAAGAAATATATTCAAATACCTCATGCAGAATAACCAATGCCCCTGAAAAAGCCCAGAAATTAGGCCATTTAAGTTGGTAAACTAAATCTGATCTTGCTCTTGACATGTTCCCTTTGATGGGCAATGTTGTATGTGGATTCATCTCAGCTAGCATCCACCAAAGAAAAATGAAGCATCTAACCAAAACTGCTGCTACAGGTTTCCTCCCACTTACCCTACTGACCTCGTTTAGGACAGGAACAACCCGCCGAGTTGCCCAAATCTCTCCACTGGCTTAGGAGGGACAGAGACAACCAAGATATATTTATTTTTAAGGTGAAATGACAGCCAAAATGACTGACCTACAGTGTACAAATTTCTATAAGGCTGATCTTTGCTGTCTAGAATAAACTTGATTGCCTAAGATTCCAACCCCAGAGAAACTTCTCCCTGGTGAAACACTATTTTGCCACTAGATAATAGGAAGCACTAATTATTGTAATCCTTTCACTTGCAAGAGTTTTCTTCAAGGGCCAATGTACTATGCCTTCAATTCCTGCATAAGGAGGACATGTTGTATGAGCAAACTTTGTCTCCTGATCTGGTGACCTGAGATGCTCACTGAATGAGCAATCTCAAATTATGGCATTGCTTATTTGACCAGCAAGTGAAAAACATTAAGAGCATCTGGAACTTGGTGAGGGAGGGAGAAGCTGATCAAGAGCTGGGAGAATTCAGCAG